TTTGTGGCTCCTCGAATATATTTCCGGCACCCTTCCATATATGTATGCGGTTTTTTGACTTTTCATCCAGAATCACAGTACCTGCAAACTTCCCTCTCCTTGCGGCTTGCATCTCTGTAATTCCCAGCTGACGAAAAAGGATCTCCGGTTCCCTCACTTCGAGGTGTCGCGGCGGGCCATGGCTCCCGTAACTCTATCCCTTGTTGCCTCTTGCTTTACCCACAATTCCTTGGACAAGATGAAATACCCAGAACAGCGACTGCTCAGCTCGACTCCGAAGGAAAAAACTCCCTGAACTGAGAAGCTTCTAGCTAGGTTTCTCCCTGGTTCGCAGTTCCCGCAGTCGGAGGGGCTTATATTTTTCCAGTACTAATCCACTCAGCTTTGGGTTACCTCAGGCGCAAGTCCACCCCTCGCGAAGGCAGGGAAACCCCCACCTCCGAAAGGGGCCTTGGCCGAGGGCGCTCCCCCTCCAGAGAGGGTTTGCGCGGCGGAGACTTGAGCCAAAATGGCTGACATCCAGCTGCCCTTCTCTCTTTTGCCTTCTCACTCCTTTCAAGCACTTCATCCGCTACGGTAGCTGTTGGCCCTGATGGAGTAGTCGAAGAGCTGGAGATTGACGTGGAGCTCGAGAAATTTTGATGAGAGTTGGGTTACTTTTTCCTCCCCTTTTTGTTTGTGCCTTGGCTCTGCGGCTGAGGTCGCAGCTCCCTTTACCAGTTTTATTCCTCCTTCGGCCAGTCTCTGTCTCATCATCCTCCGTCCCAAGTCCTCGCATGAGGCTGGATCTCCCGGAACGCCCTCCTTTGGCCGCCTTCTCCTTTTTCTCTCTCGTCCACAAACTTTCTGCAACCAAGTGAATACGTATGTTTTCTCTTGATAAACCCTTCTGAGTCACAAGCCACGCACCTCTCCTCAGTCTCCTTTGTACGCGCGTCGTACCCACTTCCGGTCCTCGCGCTTCCATGCGATGTACATCTAGCGGCCATGGCTGCCCTTTCCCGTGTTTATTTCTCCAAAGTAACTAACTCCCACTGTCCAAAAAGAGACCAGCGCAAGAGTGGATCCGAAATCGAGCCGAAAGCAAATATCCCAGAAGAGACACTGTTTATCCCACGCCCTCAATTCACTGAGTCTGAACTGTTTTAGGGCAATTGGGTTCCCAACTTCCCACGGCAGGGGCTTAAATCTCAGCATTGACCGCAAAACCCCTTCCCCAGTTGCTTAGACAAAGGATCCCAGTCACCGCTCCGGCCTGGCTATCCCTGCAAAAGTGCTACTGCCGTAGGAGGGCTTCTGTTCCCCCGATTTTGATCTGAAATGGCAAGGGAAAGGTTGCCCAAGCCCACCTCAGGGGCCAGAATCCAGGACCTCCCCAAAGGGAAACGCGGCAGCAGACTTGAGCCAAAATGGCTACGGTGTTCTTTCTTTCTTGCTTTCTTTGCTTCTTTCTGCCTTCTTCCCCACTCTCCTTCTCCACACCAAAAAGAAGGCCCCAGAAAAAGGCCCAAACAAATACGTTTCCCTTGTGAAGCCCTGTAGGGCTGTTGGGCAAAATCTTCTAATTGCAGCAAAGCAGCCACGCTGGACTGACCTTAACACAGCAACAAACGAGTCAACCGCCATATTGGTGCTGGGCATTCCATCTAGTTGCAGAACCATGCTATCCAATTGCATGCTACCGAATCCCAGTCACATGATGTGTGCGGCAAACTTCTCGTCAGTCCAGGCCTCGGAGTCACCATTCGTGGCCTCCAGCCACTGCATGCATTCCAAGCACATCCTGCAAAAACATGATGGACAATGTAGGTGAACTGCCACACCAGCCTCGTGACTGACATTACGTCGCACATCGTCAGAACGGTGCGTCTTCAGGAAGAGGTGCCACATCCTCAAAGCACCGAAAGCATGTCACTCATCTTCAATGGTGGCAGACCCACTTCCACTCTCGGCCAAGACGAAAACGCAACACGGACAGGTGCTTTGAAGCAGAGCGTTGACGAAAATAGAACAGTTCGCTCTGCTGTGCACACAACGGATCACATGCAGCAAACCATGGTAAGAATGAGGGAAAGCGTCAGAAAATGTCAAGCCATGGCGCTTCACCTCTCCACTAAAGTGCACCACACCTATGTCCTGCCACGGGTATCGCTTGGGCGGCTTGAACTGAATCTATGCGCCATGTAGGCTTGCCCCCAATTGTGCCAACAGCCCTGGTTGTCACAACCATGCAGAGCTCTTCAATCAACTCCTGTTGGGATAGAATGCTGCAGATTTTCAGTGCCCTAGGCGCTGGTGCCTCAAGTCCCATTCGCATACGCTTCGGCATCCACTCGAGGTCAGCCCTGCTAAACTCCTGCCACCAGTGTTTCAAACGTGGGGTTGCTCTGGATGCAGGGCTCTGTGGGTGGAGCCATAGTGTGGAGGAAGGTCTGCGTTTGAAGTGGGAGCTGCAAAGCCCAACAGACTGGTAGGCCTTCCCAGAGTTGACCATGAAGCGATGCCACTCCACAACACCTTGCCCAGCCGGAGATGACACACTTCCCCTCAATCACCACCAAATCAGAATTCAATTCGACACAGGGCACGCTCCACGGCATACAGGGACTGATGGAGCTGGTAATTCCAGGAAACATCAATCTGATGCCTGGGTTCCGAGTCATTTCGCTCCAACTGGGATGAAAGAAGTTCTGAAGCTGCACTGCAGTCGGCTGACAAGCAAGCTTGGGTGTGAACATAATCAAGCATGTGCGTCTAGCAGAGATCTAATTGCTAATCAGATGCCATGGAGAGTCCCGTCTTGAGGCAAAGAAGCGTGACAAGTAGTCCTGCAAGCCCAAAGAACACTCGAGTTAAGCTTTCCCAACCGTCAGGACAACCATGCAGCATCTGCCTGCTCCGGCCCATTCCCTGCAATATGGGAGGGATGGTTCTTGCAAGTCACCTTTCGCGGAATGCTGTGATTGCATGAGCACGCAGAGCAATGAAAATGCCCAAAGCTTGTCAAGCTTGAAAATGAAGCTGCACGTGAATTCAAAACGGCTTACTACGACGCTTATCTGTATCTATGCGTGGAAATGTAGACGCTGATGGAGAAGAAACGTACAACCTTTTGGGGACGATTTTTGAGAGGTAGCTTCCCTCATGTCAGGTCTAGAAGGTTCCTTACGCCCAGCTGACGCCTCTGACTGCATCTGCTGGTATACATCCATGTCAGGCTGCAGCAGGATGACACCTGCATTGATGCCACCTGTCTGTCCCCAAGGATAGTCCTGGACTGCGGCTTGAACCAGATGACAAGACTCTTGGATATTATTGGCTACTCTCGTGTGCCAGAATGCGCACAAGGTGGTACCAAGAATCAAGCCAACTCGAGGCAACATAGCATTTCATGAAAGGCACAGAATGCAAAGCCTGCCCAAATGTGGAAAGCTCGTGATATTTACAACTATATCCTCCGGACATGTGCACCAACGAAGCAGCGCCAAGCGTATTGTGCAGGAGAAGTGCCCAATGACAACTTGGGTGATATGAAGTTTGCTCATTACAAGCTCTCAGTCTCAAAGCGGTTGCTTCCTGAGGCTGTCCTGATTGTCACCTCCAGCAAAGAAGCGCCTGCCATCCACCTGCTCACCGTGCAGGTTGTCCTGGGAAAAGAAATCACGTGCGTTGCTGAGAATCTAGGATTCGCATTTTGCCAAGCCATTTCCGCATTCTACAACTGGAGTCAGGCCACTGTCGTGAGGGCATCCCAGGGCCAATCGGGTACGAATCCGCATCGAAAAAAGTCAAGGCTTGTCAAGTCATTGGCAGATCGGTTAAAGACATTTATTCCTGGAAAGCCCTTCAGCCAGCTTGCTCAGCCTGCACCAAGGGGCACCCTGACCTCGCACCATGGCGGCTGGACAGGGCAGGTCGAAGAGTTCATCCATGGGCCGAAACCTGCAAAGAGCACAACAGATCTACAAAGCTGGCAAAGCTGGCAAATCTGCCAGTTCTTCTGAGTTGCGGGATGATGTCCAAATCCAGGAGCAGCACCTTCCTCAGCTGTGCGTGATGCGACTTAGAAGATGGCAGCTAGTGCTAAAGCTGAACATTGCCCGAGACCCAGCTGCCGCTGCGAGATCTTACAGCGAGCGTCTCAAAATCCACCAGAGTCCAGGCGGCCAGTTTGGTAAACACGCCATCGAAGATATCTGGGATTGTAAATCTTTGGAAGTATTGGTGGAGAGGCTTAGAAACTTCTGATGGGGGAACTTCCACTGAATCCCAAAAAATGAGTCTAGGCGCTTCACCTTTCATTTAGAGTGGCTAGGTTGGCGTGATGTTTTTCCAAATGTTTCGCATCAAGAATGCCTGCTCCAACAGCCCTGCTTCGATGGCAATAGGCCTAACCTGCTGTTCCAAGCTGATGGAACTAAAAGCATGCGAAATCTGGAATCGCATTCCTGAAGGTGTTGGCGACAAAGGTATTCCTGGATACCCTCTGACAATACATCCCCTTACCAGGGGCCGAAGCTTTTAATGGTGCATTTAATGGTGCAAAGCCTACATTTTCTACGCTCAAATTTGCAGAGTTGCTACCCCCCAGTTGTAGAAAAGGGTGCTCTAGAGTTCAATAGAGTGAGACAGGGCGGGAGTTTGCGATGGAGGGCTTCTTTCTGCGGGTAATACTTTTCTGTGCCTCTGGTTTTTTTGGGGTGCAGGGGCTGTAAGGTGGCTTCGCGGCATTCCGGCTTCCCAGCTTCTAGCTTGAAATTAGACTCTGTTCTTTTGCGTCCTCAATTCGCGAGATCCCCACTGAAGGAAGGAAGGAAGGAAGGAAGGAAGGTGGTCATGTTCAGCGTGTTTGATTATATGTCAGCATGCTTCATGATCTTCTCCAGTTGTTCATCATTGCCCTTCACGTGTCTTCAATATTGGCTTACATCGTTTTCCGTCATTTATCAACAGGTTCATCATGTGTCATGATATTCCATTGCTTGCATGATACTTCCTTGTTCCAGCAGTTGCCCCACTCCTCACCACATAACATCTTTGTACAGTGCTCATGACTCATCATGGTCAATACTAAGTGAGCCCTTCTCTCAACCCTAGACAACCCTCAACCCTGATTGACAAACCCCAGACCCTTAACAACTCCATACCGTAAACCCAAAACGACCCCAAGCCCCAAACGCCACCCCTTGATATTTATGATCATGCATCATGATTCCCTAATGTTCCATCATGTCCATCATCCGTTCGTTGTTTGCGCCTTTTGCCCCTCAAATTTGATCACTTGTCGTCATTCTTGACAGCTGCCCCGCTTGCAAACCCCTGCCGTGATTCTTGAACCTCGTGCTCATGATAAGTAGATATTAGAGAGAGGTAGGTAGGTAGGTAGGTAGGTAGGTATGTATGTATGTATGCATGTATGTATGTATGTATGTATGTATTCTTCCGACATTACGGGGATGCTACCATTGTATGATAACGATGGTATGATCGCCCTCTTTGTTATAGGCTCCGCCGGAGCGTAAACGCGCAAAGAATGCGTACTTGGCCAACCTCTCCGGATGTGGCCTGCGTGGCACGAACCACGCATTCGAAGTGTTTCGAGGGCCCGAAATACTGCGTATACCACGCATCACGTTTTTCGTCTTCCGAGTGCGTACACTCACAAGAGCATCTGTGCCCAAACCATAATAACGTTCGTCTTCCGAGTGCGTCCAATAATCCGAGCATCCATGCCCAAACCATTATAATGTTCATGTTGCCAGAGCATGCGCTCACCAGAGCATCCATGCCCAAGCCATAACAACGTTCGTGTTCCCAGAACGTACGGTCACCAAAGCATCCATGCCCAAGCCAGAATAACGTTCGTGTTCCCAGAGCATACGGTCACCAGAGCATCCATGCCCCAACCACGATAACGCTCGTGTTCCCAGAGCATATGGTCACCGGAGCATCCATGCCCAAACCATACTTCAAATCCTAGAATTTACAACCCCCCGGAGGCAAGGCTTCATCAAGAAAAAACCCTCAAATCTGAAATTCCTGGCGATGAGAATCCCCTGCAAAACGGAATATTTTTGCAAAGCCACGCGATTATTTTCTTATCTGTTGAATGTGTATTTTTGGGACGGCTCATAAGTGCGTGCTTGAAAAAAATCTGTGTTTTGCAGTGGGCTCTGTATTCTACCGTTGCGCACCGATGAATCGGTGAATCGGGGCGTGTTTACGGTCCGGACGACAGTTGTTATACTATCATCCGCCTTGTATCATTATTCGTTTTATAAGGTTATAGTTCTTCTGACGTTCGCCAATCATGTCGTTGCCATTTTGAGATCCTTCCCCCACCAACACACCCCATACTTAAATTGCATGGGTTTAGAATTGTATGAAGCTATCAAAATGCGACCACTATATGCAAGAAAACAGATGTTATCATCTTCCATCCATGTTTCGCTGATGGGGGGGGATTCCAAACCGAGCTCTGGCATGGAAACTCTTCACATTTTTGCTTCCGCGTGCAACGTCCTCATATTTTGACTCTGTTAGCACGCTCTTGCCTGGGACGTTGTCCCAACTTAGCTCAACATGACACTCTCAAGTGGCGCATCCTCATTATCTTCTTCATTAACGTGCTCTTGCGTGGAGCCTCCTCAGATTTGGCACAGCCTCGGGCCCAACAAAAAACAAATGCCCAGAGACCAAAAAACATCAAAAAATATATCCAGGCGCTTGCAAAATAAGCAACGTTGTTTTGCGAGTTGCGCCTAGAAGCCCTGCTATGCCCTGCTGCTGTTCTGCCATACCGCGAGGAAGCCACAGTTTGTCTACCGTTTTTGACTTCAACACGAAAGAAAACAAGGACAAGGCGTGCATGAAATCGACAGAGCGAGGGTCTGCCCTTGCTTACATAGAGATCCTCCACGCCATCAATGTAGTTCACCTCGGGATGGCAGCTGGCAGACACAGAGACGGCTCTGCGGCTCCACGGCCTCCTTGAGCTGCCACAACCCATCCTGCGCGAATGCCTGGAGGTAGTTCTGTGGCACGTCGTCCGTGTGCCTAGGATCTTCAACTCCAAGCTGGTCCAATCAACATCAAAATTCTTTGGAGTCCTACTCTATGGCTCCGTTTTCTTCACAATGAAGTGTGAGGGGCAGCATCACACGCTCGATGTCGGGCGAGAGCTCACGCAGCCGCACGCCAAGAACCAGGGCTCCTGCTGACTTTGGCTAGTGGAGAATATGCTGACTATCACGAGGGAGGAATTTCGCTTAGACATGTCTGGCACCTATAAACTCTGCCAAACCTGCACTCAGGACGCTAAGGCCCTCACCCAGGGCGTAGCCAGCATTGGCACCCCAGAGCGAGCCGACGAAGGCACGGCGCCCAGATGCTTGTGGGGCCTGCTTGCAGCGGTGCCCTTTCCACAAGCAAACCACAACATCCAAGCACCCTGGAGCTGCTCCAGCTGCCTTCCAGGTCTGCGCCAGCTCTGTGATCGTGACCTAGCATGTAAAGGCTAGAGCACCCTACACTAAGACGCATGCATAGAAAAGAGAAAAGTACGTCTGCACCTCCACAGGTCTGCGGCAACACGGGCAATTCATCTTGTACCACTTCGAGTCCTGACCTTGCTTGCTGAAACGGTGAACAGGGCCACTCCTCATGAGAAAATTGCTGCTGATGGCAGTCTTGGCTGCATTAGGCTGGGTTGCATGCTGTAGTAGTCGGGCCGGTACACAATCTGCTCAGTACTCGTCAAAGGTGAATGAAGGCGCACTGTTCCCCAGAAAAGCCGTCGCTCCAGCTCCTAAAAGGCTGTTGCATGCTGGTGCCAGGTTTGCGGATCTCTAGTGCTTCTGGCCTCCCGTCCGAAACATGCAGACTTACACGTTTACCTCGAGGTTGGGAACAGCCTCGCTCACAAAAACTTGGAGCCTCCTCCACCTTGCGGCACTCATCCCTCCACCAGATCCTTAGTAAAAGTCCGGATGAAGCCAGGAGTCATGTTGTTGTGCGCAATCGAAAAAAACTTGCTGGAAAGCGCCAAAGATCTTCTCTCTGTGAAGCTGATACGCCCTGCGGCGCAGCTCTGTCACCTGTTTTGGACTGAAACAGGGACAACACAGCCAAGCTCATGATTCATAAAGTTCGAAGGAATGGCCCTGCCTCTTCATCGTGGGCGGAGGCATCACCCGTGGGAGCGTCCTAATCAAGAGAAAGCCAAGAGAACGTGCGCCCTGCGAAGCAGTCTCAGCTTGGCCTGCCATGGCCTGCTGAATCTAACTAAATTCTGTGCACATCTGGGACGAAGCAGAGGGGCTTGATTTTGCGAAAGCAAAATTCGCAACGGCTCTGTCTCGGGGTCGATGCCATCAGATGCAGCAGCGCCCATCAGATCTTCAGCCAAATCCTTAAGGGTTCAGGGCACAGGGCCTAGAAATATGAGCTTGGATTGGAAATGTTAGGGCGCAGGACATCTCACCTATGGACAGGTAGTGCCTGAAAACCCATGAAGCTTTGAGTAGTGTTCGTTTTTGGGGCGCGTTCAGGTTTTACAGCTTTGGCAGTTGAGGTTTGGGGTTTAGGGTTTAAGACTTGGAGCTTTGGGGTTCTGAATCTTGACTTATGGAGGCATCCAGCAAATGGAATGTTGCCTGTTCTCATCTGACTACCGTCTTCATTCAGAATATAAACAAAGAACGTTCCGGATTTTTATGCCCACTGTGACCCCCAGCCCTTCCACAGTTGCTTTGTGAGCCCTGCATGCAGCATCAGAGCCAGATACATGGCAGTAAGATGCATTACAGCAAGCACCGCAGTCTGGCTTCAGGTCTGTCAGTAGGAACAGTGGAGCGATTGCGTTGTCAGACCTCTAGGCTCTGCGCCTTGTTTGGCACCTGTAAACTCAGGTGACTGCTCCTGTGGTGGCCTGCAATGCCTTGTGCCATTCCTTATTTGTTGCAGCCATGCACAGACAAGCAGAAAGCTGTCCCGTGCATCGGGCTTCCAGCGGGCCGGGGTTCACTTAACAACCTCTGAGAGTGCATAACCCTCATGCTTTGCACTAGCTACGGTGCCAGTGTCCTGTTCAAGTATGATGGACTGGAAGCCGGGCCCATCATAACAAAATCTTGCAATCCGGTCTGGCCTTCATCTCACGGATAGAGGCTGCAATCCTCAGCCACGGGCCCAACTCACACCCTTCCACACCTTCGGACTCAACGGCTTAAACGTGTAAAAGACTGCCAACTTGCACATTGAACGGGCTTGCCTGACTCTGATGGCATGTACCAACGGTCTGGTCAAATCATGCGTTTGCAAAGTATGTTCGCAAACGATTTCGAAGCATGCTGGCAAGGATTTCCTCATGAATAATACATGTGGTTATCGCCTTCCAATTCTTGTAGCCCCGCGAGAAAACCACATCGTGGTCTGGCTCTGCCTCTTGTGATGAGTACTTCAAGTGCGATTCTCCAAACTCTCTGGCCGTGTTCTGGCATAAATTGAACGATGATATCCATGGCTACATTGGTGTTAAGATGCAGATTTTCCGACCGTCATGTATTGAGAATGTACTCGAACAACTCGGGCATAGACTAGCCAACTCGAAGCACGCTAGCCCAAATGCCAAGTACTGAAGCCACAGGGCACAAGTTGAAGGCGAGGTGCTCCGTCTCGCCAAAAACACGATCAAACAGAGGATTCTCAAAGACGCTGCTGAGGAAGGGCCTTGGAAACGTGCAAACCTGGGTTTGCTGGCTTCACGTGCTTGAAAAAAACCCAAAACCAGCAAATTTGGGCCAAGAGCATATCCCGCAGGCCAGCACCAAAACGGTCCCAGGAGGAGCTATGCGCCTCCAGCACTGCACAGGCCCTTGCAGCCCTGGAGGGTGTGGATTCTGTTGCGCTGCTCTGAGGCCTGGGAAACAACCAGCGCGGACTCTGGCTCAGCCTGTGACTGGGCTGCCTGGCATTTTGCACGTCACGTCTTCACGTCTTGGCAATTGGAGCGCTCTCTCCACGGGCCTTGGAAGCGTTCTGGGCAGCTTCCGCACCCTCGCCTTCTGCAGCCTGAGACCAAAGAATCTAAAAATCTGCAGAGGCACATCGAATCAGTCTTCGCAAGCACAGGTCTTTGCAGGCCTTGGCTTCCTCTCGCTCCACCCGCTCTGCTTCGGCAGCGGCAAAGGCGTCGCGGGCCTTTTTCCACCTGAGCTCACTCGGTGTCAGAGCTCCCCTCGAACTACCTCGGGTGAGGTTCTCTGCCTATGGGACTCCGTCCGCCATCTTAGAAAGCAGTGTCTCAACCGAAAAAGGCTGAGGTTGGATTTGGCACCATTCTTGGGACTTGAACATTGGCAGGCTCAGCTTGGTTAAACCAGTGTCTTGTGCTGGATTTCTGCTCAGAGAGTTACAGAACAAAACAACACTCCCATATCCGCTATGCTGAACCTCCGAGGACTCAAACTGAGGACGACACTGCTTGGTCTTTTCAGCCTGATGTTGGCATGAAAGCTGCATGAATAGCATTGCAGCCTTTAAGTCATGGCCTTCTTGTCCTCGTCCCCCAGAAAGTTCACTGCCCTGGAAGAAGCATCCATGACGTTGGAAAATCTCTCCTGGATGAAGTCAACACTTCTACAACCTTACGAAACGAGCCGAGCCCTCTCATGTACGCATGCCGTCCAGCAAGTGAGAGACTACCCCGAACTTGCAGAGTCCCGAGTCTTGTTCAGCAAGCTTGAAGAAGCCGCGGATGTGGACCTGGGTTGCTACATCGCTAATAAAAACTGACGATTGTGCACATCTGCATCGCAATGTCTACACCACAGAGCATTACAGAGCTCTGTCTGCTCTCTGTTCAAACTTTCATACAGCACTCTTGACAAACACTTGGACTGCGATACCTGCTTTGTTGAGAACACGTTGGCATGAGAACTCGGTATTGAGAGCTGGCTGTTGATGGCCGCACGGGGCAGGACGGTGGTGGACGCGCGCGTGCCCACCCCGTCAAGAATTATTGCACTGTACAGCACAACCCAAATTACCGCCAGCCCCGTAGCCCGAAGCCAGGCCCCGGTCTCAGAGGCACTCTTCAGCGCCTCCCGCGCCTTGCGCAGAGCCTGGCTGGAACCATCTCACGCAGACTGCTTTTGCAGACAGATTTTGCAAACTGGAAATGAAAGGATGGGCGAAAGGCTCTGCATTCCAGGCCCGGACATTCGTTGCTTCACCGAGCCCTGCCTCATTCTCCTCGGCAGCCTTGTCTAGGCGCGTGGACGTCATGCCTGCCCAGGACTGCCAACACGCAAAAAGAAGCGGACGGTGAAGCTGTGAGGCTGTGGCTGGCTGCAGAGCGCGCCGAGTCCTTCCAGCTACCTGTGCAGAGCATTGGGAAGCCTTCTGTGCTAGTCCAACGCCCAGCCTGTGGCTGTACCATAAAACCCTGTGTTTCTGTTGCGTATGGACACCTAAAAGACCACCTGAACTGCAGTAGCTGAGTAAAGTCAAATTAGATTGCGCGCGGAAAGGCGGATGCCTCTTTGCACTGAGAGCTTGGCTAAGGAGCTCTGAGGTCTTCGAGGACAGACCTTGGAAGACAATTGCAGCAAATGAAATCATTCTCCTTTGCGCAGTGACATTCTAAGGGCAGAGTAGCTTCGAAAGCTTTGATGCTGGAGAGGCTGGAGAAGCTAGAGTCAGAAGCATTTCTTTGTAGAGAAGGATAAGGCCAATGAGGATTGCTGATTGCTTAGGACTGCGGTCGACTGCACTTGACTGCTGTTCTTTCAGTGCGATTTAAAATGCACACCTCGACATTCCAAGGTCTCATGTCCTGACGGATGAAACAGACGTTCCCCCATCTGAGCATGGAGGCTCTTTAGTCGGTCTCCAAACTCCTCGAGTCTTTCGGAGCCTGCAGCCTCAGCACAGCAGTTTCTTCTGCGAAAAGGCTCCAGATATTTGAAGCCCGGAAGGCCTCAATTTTGCACCAATGCGCTAAAACAACACGGACATCTGTGAAGACATACCTCAGAGTCCTGCTCCAGACTGTTGCATACGGTGGGAGGACCGTTGCACCTGGCATGTGCTCGACCAGGGAAAGGCTGTAAAGCTTTGAAGGGTTCAGGCCACACTTGTGGCCAGTCTGGAAAAGTCATGTTAAGAATTGCTAATTTATCACAACTCAACCTAGAGCCGGGCCTCCTTTCTCATAATTGCTAGCAGTTTCCCAACCTCGGTACAAACCTGTTCAACGCCGTCTTGTACACTGTTCCCACCGAATGTGTGCTTCTCTTCATCAGAATTTCCACATGCGGGCAAAACATTTTCTGAGGTTCTCCTGATCTCTAGGAAGCAGACACTGCTTCAGAAGCACGAAAGCTTGTCAGAGCCCTGCGCCTCAAAGAGTCTCCATCAAAAAGGTTACAGAATACATGAACCAAACAGCCAAGCGACTTTACCAAGCCAGAGTGTTAGAAAGAGGCTCGAATCAAGGCAACATGCATCCCAATGCCAATCTATCGTTCTCAGACATGCTAGTGGAAAGAAATGCACACGAGCAAAGCAAGGAAGCCGCAAAGGTCTCATCTTATCAACAGCTTGTGGTGACATCTACTCACCATTTTTGGCTGCAAGCCGAATGCCTCATGCCCTGAGGAAGCATCGATGTGGCATTTACCATGCCTTCTCCCAGTCCTTTCGGAGCTTGTCATCAGCCTCCATGTCTTTCTTGACTTGGTCCATCACCTGGCAAACTTGAAGCTGCCTCTGCGTCAACACTGCAACACACGTTCATCACAAAACAGAAGCACCTTCTGCCTTTAAGCTGACTTTTGTGTGAATCATCCACCATCAGATGCAGAGGTGCCTGCTTGATGAAGCTGTTCCTGCGAAACGCTTTCATGGCTAAACAACTGGGGATGCTGGATTCTGGGCGTAAGCATCCTGTAGCAACAGCAACATTGCAAATGCAGTCGTGTAACAAGGCAGCATACCACCGGAAACAGAGCGATGACCCTCCGTTGCTCCTCCGGGCTTGGGTCGCTGCCAACACCTCCGGAGAGAAGCGGCTTCGCCTGATTGACCAGAGCTCCTAGGTTAACCTTCTATAATGCTGGAGGCTTTGCTGGTTTTCTTCCATCTCTTGTTATGTGCAAAACCTACCCAACACGCCTCTGATAAGTCTATCATCAAAACGTCCTGCAAACTCCCTTCTCTGTTCATAGGCCAAACCACTAGAGTCAGCATCTCTTTCAGCTCCTGGCCGCGCCACACCCCGAAGGGCCAGCCGCGCCTGGATACAGCATGTCCCTGACAACTATGGGCCATGTGACCTTCTGGTTCTGCTGGTCATATGCGACGTCGTACAAGTTTAGCATAATTTGCTCATAGTTTTGCCCTAGCTGCAAGCCCGCGCTGCTTTTGGCTCCCGAAGCGAATGCCCGCATTCTGGCTAGCACACATCACCGCAATTCGGCTAAGGCTGCTACAAAACAAAATCTTTTCCAGGATGGAGACACTCCTGTGTGCCTGCCGCCTTGACAGGTAGTCCCGCCCCAGACAACTTCCAAAGCAACATCTCTAGCAATCTCCATCAATCTTTGAACTCCTGTGTCAGGGGACGTGAGTGTAAAAGAAACTGCTCATCTCGAGACTTTCCACAGACCATATCAGGTCCACACAAAGCACGCCACAGTCGGCATGAGCTTGCAGTACAATTTGCAACGCTGAGTCGAGACGCCCAGGAAAACCTTGTCGGGCCAGGCAACCCACTCTGAGCTGCTCAAAATTGAGGATTGTGTGGGTTTAGAGAGCTTCAACTAAGAGCTCCCGAACCTACAACAGGGAGATTGGCTTGTCACCACCGTGCCTCCCAAGCATGCACGAATTTTGAAAACTTCTATCTGCAGGCATGATATTGCCATCCGCGAACCCTCACCGGACACATCGCGACAGGGATTCGTACCGCTGACGCAGGTCGTGAGGGCACGAGATCGGGGTAAAAACGAAATTGTGGTTGTCAATGCCTGGTGGAGGATGGGAGAAATCCAGGTGGTTGTGAGCGCCGTACTGGTTTCGCTGCCCAGGCCACTGCGGGCACCAGCGCTCGTTACCATGGTGTGGGCAAAGGTCTGCCACCACAATCACAATCTCCTCGGAAGCAAAGCCGGTCTTGTGCAGGGCCTTCAGGTTATGCCCCTTCAGGCCTCAGTGTCTTGTACCGGCCCACATCCCTTACACACGAACACCTAAAGGGCCATGGGCCATGACGCATGAACTGTGGCAAGGGGCCGTAGGCAGAATGGAGGAAGCGGCCCTTTGCACAGCTAAAGCAGCCGAGCCTGGCGCTACCAACAAGCACACCCTTCGATTTACTGCATGAGAGCTGGCACGGTTCAAGCTTTCAAAAATGCCGCGCCCCGCAGTGCCGCGCCCACCGCCAGGCCCCGAACACCAGCAGCAGCCCTGCCTCTGGTTAGGCTTCAAGCGTTTGCCACGAAACATCTTCAGCTTTTTAAGGGCCGTTGAAAAGAACATTTTATCTTGAAACAGCAGCCGAACGTCCACATGGACTGTGCCGATGCCACACTGTAGTAGGGCAAACCTCACAAAATGCATCACAGTGATTACTGCTGGTGCATGATCTACGGTTGGCCAACGTGCCTGCTGTGAGCTGCCCAGTGTGCATTCCACCGCAGGCAGCAGCTTTGGCATCGCCGTAGCGTGTAGTTGTTGCAAAGGTTGCATAGCCTGCATAGCCTGAGTCAAGAAATTCACGCCCGTCTGCACAGCGCGAAACTGCCCTCTGCCAATCTAAAGCGTGTTTAACGCCCTGTATGCCAAGCTGCGATGGGCACTGGCTGAGCGTGTGCTGTTGTCTTCCAGCAAAGTCTGGGCGACGGCTGGAGGCTCCCAGACATACCTGACAGCAAGCAGATTTGCACTTTGGTTGCATGCTTGTTGTTCGACAGATGAAGCCTTTGCTGTAAAGACTAGCCGTCAACCTCCAACTTCGGAAAAAAAGTCAAGGAACGGATCTTGTGTCGCATTCTTCTGCAGTCCAGTACTGTTGTCCGGCGAGCCCAGTCCTGCGGAAGTCTCACGCATGACCACAGCAAACCTGAAAGGCACGTCTGACAAGCACAAGAGTTGCAAAGCGCGAGGCTACCTAAAACAAAAACATTCCTGATGAATTTTGAGGGTGTATGCGACAGGACTGCGGAGAACAACGCTTCACAATTTGCATCTTCCATTTTGACCCGTGCCCCTGGTCTTGCGACAACGTGGCCGATCAGGAGAGCCAGGACTTGCCAAAATGTCATTGTGTCAAACGTGCCTGGTGAGGCTTCAAAGGGCTTACCGTTGTGCAGAAGCTTCGGATCTACAACGCTGGAAACAAGCTGTTGCCAATGGCCAAGGTTGATCACCATCCAGCCTCAGAGGACTGCAGATGGACAACGCCAAAAATGGCTGGGGAGCTGCACTTCACCCCAAGAGCCAAAGCGGCTCCCCCAGCAGGCACGACTCGCCTTCAATCTGAACACATGATTTGAAGAACGTGCTTTTGAACCTGACGCTGACGTGCAAAACTCGCAGCTCTGCAAAGTACCCTGACAACCATGACATGCACCGCAGCAAGGTTGTACTATCTGTTGACGAGCGCCCCGAATCCAACACGGCGCTTTCCACAGTGCTCCGAGGCTGCTCCTGCAAAGCCCTTGCAGCCTGCACCTTGAAGTTACGAGTAACTTATATGGCCCGTGGAAAGCTGCCCAGGCTTTAGGCTATCATCCTGTAATGGACTGCTACATTATGCCTGATCAACAGAACCACCTTTCAGCCCTGACCTTATCTACCTTTGCGCAAACAGGGACAAATTTCCTCTCATAAGCACTGTTGGAGGCCAGGTGTGCAAAGAGCTTATTTCAAGACGAAAATACAATACGACTGGCCTGCATCGTGACAAGCGGCCGAGCCGAAACCTGCAACTGACGTCCAGGACAGCAGGGTTTCATGAAATACTAGCCAATGTGGATCCGCGGCTCAACCCATTAGAAGCGAATGTTGCAAATCCCCAACATTTGCAGTAATGATAACCGCTGCGCATGCCAAAATACAAAAACAATCAAGTCATCAATAACGGATGCCCAGTCCCACATGCAGAAAAAACACGTAAAACCCTCTGTCCGAGCTAGTGGAACAAGCAACCAAACGCGTGCTGGATGCAACGGATCGTAAAGCAGCCTGCTTGCCAGGGGATGATGGCCCAACGTGTTTGGCTGTAAATTTGACCGCCAATGGCCACAGCAGCAAAGGATGAGCATCAAACAGCAAATCAAAAAGGAAATGTTCAAGCGGTGAAAATTTGCACGCAAAAATCATCACTATCCTTTCCGTGCAATTTGGGTGCAATTGCTCTGCCCGACTCATTTTTGCATTACAAAAATCAATTCGAACTGTGAATGATTTCAGAAACAATCATGTTCGTGTTTTGAAAACAAGGTTGGATGATTTCTCTCAAATATTTAACATGCATAGAAAATGAAATGGTGTGGGAACCTGCCTCAAAAATGCGCACTGGCTTAATTGCAATGTGGGGTCACATCAAATCTTGACTTTTGACAACGAAGATGGCCGTAAGCACAGAAGCACATTGGGCAATCATGCCAAATTGCCGGTCTACTGCAAACAACAACGAGTTTCGCGACCGCAACCCGCCTGAACTACAGCGAGCAGCTACTCAAGCAAGTACAATTTTGAACGACCACATGCAAAGCCGAGCCAAATCAACCAACCATAGTCCCAGATGCCATTTGAATTCCATCACATGCTGGATGATCTGGGATTCAAACTGGATAGCGGATCAGTGCGGGATCTATTGACGTTCATTGTCTGAAATGGCAATGGTGACAAAATATTTTTCTGAGTGACCCATGTGCAACTTGAGGACTTGCACGGACAATTGACTAGGACTTGATGGGTAAGTGATGCATCCACAGGCTAAACAATCAAAGTTCAAAGGATCAAAAGGCCCGGGACAACCCGACTGCCCGTCATAGAGCCTGTGTAGCCCCAATGATGGATATAAGTTACCATGGAAGCGAGCCAACAATGGAATGTACAGACTAGACTGAGCATACACATGGTATGTGCACACAACCCAAAGTTTGGCTGCCAACGCAAGCGTTCGCCTTCAACGCCCAGCTTCCAAAGTGTGACGACCGCACACACGCCCAAGTGGCCGGCTGCAAGTGCCCTGCACGGTGCTCTCATTGGAAATGGCGCAAGGGCAACACCGGGGAAGGAACCACGCAACGTGGGTAGCAGCACCCACTACGCCTAACTTGTTTGATCAAGTAGGCACAACTAAACAAGACAGGCGATCCACACGAGGAAATCACCGTGCGCCATGGGTAGCACTGCCACCTGCACGCTGACTGAGCCCAGCGTCAACATGTGCCATGACAAGAAAGATTGCAAAGGGAGTATTCAAAAATACTCAGAAGGGGTGGGACTACATCAAATTGCCCGTCCCAAATGACTACATGACTACATCAAGCGGCCTTCAGCCACCCGGCTGATGGTCGCTGCAGGAACCAACAAAACGGAGAATGTGCAATAAACAATGTGTTGCATACCGCTCTTACGCCTTTTCACTTTCCGAAGCCATATTCAATCAGAAACTTCCGTCAAAAAATAAATATGGATCATCCGTCGACACCCGAATAGATAAATCGTATTGCACTCACATTCGGGCAGTGACAACCTTGTAGCATTAGCTAGTCCGGAGGAAATGTGCGTTGGCAAAAGTTGGCAAAATGTTACCCGTTCAACACAGAGCGGCATTGCAATGTCACAACGTACGTCACCACGCGGCCCAGGGCGAATTCTTACAAGGAGAACGCAAGGCTGAATTTGCACGACGAACCCAAGTAAATCAAGCACAATCACACGTCGATGAAGGTCGAACTCTTCTTCATGCAATCCCCCTAATTTTGTGTGGTTGCACTGTTCCTGTCCAAGACCTGCCACAACAAGCAGCAGAGTACGCCGCTCTTTTTCATTTGGGCTGCTTTGAATGTAGCCTTCAAAAGGCTTGGAGGCTGGAGGGTTTCACGACTCGAATCTGGGCTTGTTGAGAATTGAATAAGAACCGGGCTCAGCGGGCGCGGGCTGACCTCAATGAAGCCGGGTTTTGTTGAAGTCTGAGGCTGAGCGGCGCTCAGGCCCAAGCGAAGGCTTGCAGTGAGTAGGTCAGTGGGCCTGAGCGGGGCAGAACCAGCGGGTCTGCTCAAGTGAAAGCTTGCTGTGGCGACAGCGGGCTCAATCTAACCTTAGAAAGTCGTGACCACGCGCGGACTGGCAGGGCTACAAGCGGCTAAGCAAGTGTACAGAAGGCTGAGTAGGCCCACGGCTTGTCCTTCCCCTGCGCAAAAGGGCTTGAGGCTGAATTGAAATCTACGTAGAAAGATCTACATAAGGCTTGTAGTGGGCTAACAGGTTTGGTTCCAAAATCGCACAACAATGAGAGTGATATCAGCTCAACAGCATTGCTGTCATATTCATCCAACAGGGGAGTGAAGCAAAAATGATAGCAAATCTAAGTTAAAAGTTGCATCAAGCAAAGTTGCAAGCAGGATATGCGCGTCACATCAAAATTGCATCAACCCCAGTTGCCATCAAACAGTACGGGACTTCTTTCTCTGTATCCAGCGCACTGGGGTGTTTGATCATGTTCATCCGGCTCATCCCCGACATCCTTCATTTAACCAAAGATGCGCAAGCATATTCATTCCCCAGTCCGCTTTAACATGTTACCCCTAGGCAAGGCTGGCAAGAATCTCTTACACCACGGGCAAGAAGGATGCTCCACCGTGAGCTTCCAGCATGAAAGCTCTTTGATCGACCCCCGGCTGGGAGGATCTTTTTTCCACTTTCAACCACAGCGGTCTGGTCTGACCTACTCGCGAGCTATTTATTCACACGACCATTTGTCGTGGCTCCCTGTACCTTGGGAGTTGAATGTGAATGTGTTTCGGGGCTCTGCGCAGTCCAAGAATGTTCTAAACATTTTGATCTCTAGCCACCAGCGTCAAGGTTCTCAGCACGCAAGTCGAACACCATAAGTAACAAGCTCAGCTACCCGTTATGTACAGAGCACCCTGCGCATCATATGTGCATTGCTATGGCACGCAGCAACGCTAAGATCAAAAGCCCAGGGAGGATGGGCGGGCACACATTGAGAATGCTTGCATGTCCGACGCCGCTTGAACCGCTGGTGGCTAAGGATACACAAATCAACAAGCGGCAGCATAGGAAATCTCAAAACGCTAAAACAGTATGAGCAAGCACAATAACAGATACGCTGCTTATGCCAAGAATTGGTCGCGATCTGAATACTGGAGTGCATAGAAAGTCAGGAGGGTTTAGCATTAGCGCATGAACATTAACGCGGCGTATGACCTTCCTCGTCTGCGCCTGCCACTTGCAAGCGCGCTCTCCACTGATTAAGGGTCACCTATCCAAGCAAGGCGAGGCAGAAGGAATTGTAAAAGCTTGCAAGTGTCCAGTTCCCACCTCCTTGCACTCTCTGCCAAGTCTCGGAGACCAATGCCCACCCTCTGCAATGCCTGCAATAGGATTGTGAACACAGTTGAATTAATGTAACATGTATTTCCTGTGTTACGTAGACACTGCTGAGAAACACTATAGGCATTTGTGTCCGCGCGTTAGCGCTGCCTGGCCTCGGTCCAGCGGGAGCTGCACGTATGGGGCCGTCGACGACTGCACCCTGACTTGTCTATTCTAGGTGAAAAGTGTGACGGACCCAACCTGAGACGGTTCAGGGAGTCCTTTTTTTGGAGCGAGAAAGCCAGCAGGGACACCTCTGTGAAAATTTTTTTCTGTCCTTCGTCGGCTGCCCCTCGCTTGAGCCCTGCTGCTCGCGGGGTCTGTTCTGCACGCTCCCTCGCCGCAGGCGCTGGCGTCCAGTCCCCGAACACCGTCGCCACCTCGCTGGCCATCTCCGTCGAAGTATGCCCAGCAGGGCTCTGAAAGATGACATTACCTTGTTATGTCTGTTGTAGGA